CATCCTGTTTACTGATGTGACATAATAATGCCATTCTTAGTTTGCCTCTGTTTTGAAAAAATGGTGTGTGAAATGTTTGTATTAAAACTACTCTTCCTAAGCAAGCTCCAATATGTGCAAAGTCTGGTTATAAACAAATCAGAGATTTAACTAGTCAGGGTTATCAACCCTGATTTGTTCATTTACTCTTAATTACAAATTTTAAATAATGTTAGTTGATATGATCCAAATATGAAAGCCAGAATAATTGGAATGTCTATCATCGGCAATGCTTTTATGTCAATCACTTTCCTTACACAGACAAGGGCAGGCAAAGGAGTGCCAATTAACATTCCTGTCTTTAGTCTCGAGTGTGGACTTGTAAACATCATCAGGTCAGCATGCTCCCATGTTTTACTTCACAGCTAAAGGCCCACTGTTGCTCCAAACATTTGTAGGATTTGTGATTTAGTTTGGAATAGTCCTCATTAATCACAGCACAACTAATGGCTTTCAGGTATTCTCAAGGAATGTGAAGGTACACACAACTCAGCAGGGTTTTGTGCTGGCATTTTCCCAAATGGATTGATGAAGATTTTGCTGATCTCACCATGGCAGGATTATACTGGGTTGCTGAAGAATAACAGTAGTAGTGATGACCTTTGATTGGCAGGAACAGCCTTGGCTCTATATTATATTTAGGTGCAGTAGGCAAGATTATCAGCGTTTTAGGGTACTCTACAAGACATAACTCTAAGGCATAACAAGAACATCAAAATGACATGGTCAAGATCCTGTACCTATGACTCTCCAGAGCAAAGATCAGCAATGTCCCAATGTCCCTGACCCTGGGGCTTAAGTGTCCACACTTCATAATCACACCCTTATGTCCATTTTCTTCAAGCTGTTTGAAGCAATTCTCAGGGAATCTGAATACTTTGAAATGTCCCCTTGCATCATAGAACTACAAGTTGATACACAACATAACAGTGTGTATTTTACTGCTTAAAACATACAGCAAATAACCTAATACTTTAAGCCTGCAATGTGCAGCAGCCAGAATTGATCTGAGTAATTGCTGAGTTGAAATCAGAGATGGAAAAACACCTAGAACTGACTTAGATGAGGCAGTCTGAACGACTGATTATGTTTTCTAATTCAGATTTTTCCAAGGCTTTAATATTTATGAAGCATTTTGTAAATATAAGCCTTTCAACATCTGTGCAGTTAAGATTCGTAAGCTGAATTTCACAGAACAGCAAATGGACTCAGAGAAGCTCAGCAATTGTCAGGAATACACAGTGAATATGACCAGCATGTCTCAGCTAACATTTGCCAACTTAATACTTTGAATTTCCATAACACAGAAGGATTCCATCAAGGACATATTAACTATTTCTATTATTTCCTGGCATTCATTTTTATTAAATATTTTGCATTTTTGTACAATTTTATTAATTTCATATACACACACTCAGGGTAAAGCAGTTTTACCAAATGATCTGCTTTGTTTGTGGTAACTGTGTTGAAAATAAATATTGGAGATACTGGAAATACAGAGGAATCAAATAAATTATAACACAGTCTCAGAGTAAGTGTTATTAAAGATCTTGGTGGACTCAGTTGGAAACAACTGAGTTATTCAGTTCAGTTTGATTCAGTAGCACCTGCCTCTGAGATAAAGATAATGTTGCAGTTGGAACATCAGAGACACACAAATCACCATTCTTATATCTTCCCTTGAGAAAGCAGCTACCTCCCTGCCAAGCACTGGACCTCATTGGGTGAGGATACAGTCATGTGTAATGTCACTCGTGAGAAGTCAAGGATGGGATCACAAATACTCAGAACTTATCCATGTGTCTTTCATTGTGCCTTGTCTTTGCGTTTATATAAGCATGTCTAAGGACATATTTCATGGTCTCACTTCTTGCTCATACTTAAGAGGGGCTTCCTATGCCAAGTAATCAAGGGCTTAGTACACTTGTCTATGTATTCTTCCCTCATCCAAGCCAATGATGAGCTAGACACTGCCTTTTGTAGTGCACATTCAATAACTTTAGAATAGATTACGTTGTGGCCCAATTCTAAAAGCAGTTACCCTGGTCTATTTTTTTTCAGAAGCATTCCTTTTCTTACTCTATTTCCACTCTAGTCTCAGGAGAGCTTCCACCAATCTATATGCTAATATTCAAAATTCCTCTCATTAGTGCAAAGTCATCTAGCTTTTCTGCCTTGAGTCTCCTCAAACATCACTCTCTGACCTGGCAATATAAATATGTTTTTTCATTGTTGTTTAAAGGAGGACTCCTTTATTTAGGGGAGTGTTATCTACTTAGTCTCATATGAAACTTCTGGATCCTTCACATTCCACCATCCTGGCTATGCAGGGAGGGAAGTGACTTCCTGGGTTTTCTGTTGGGTGTGTTATTCCCTTTCTACATTTAATTACAAAATTCCCGGGAAAATATCTGGGCTTTCATATTAGTTATTGGAAATCCATGGAAATACACATTTTATATTCCATAGCTTAGTGTCTTAGGATATCCTCAATCTTACCCTCTCCCCCATTACAATCCACCTTTTTCAACGAACCGAATGTTGAGGCAGTAGGCATTGGTAACTACACTTGGTTCTCAAAATCAATTCTTTTGCTTAATTAGGTCTCATATCTTGTCCCTTAGAAGATTATTTCAGTAACAGAGAAGACAGTTGATAAAAATCTTACGGAACCAAGATTAGGTATTCTGTGTCTTTCCAGCAAGCCCATCAGTTCTCTTCAATGGGAAGAATACATTCATTCTCTTTTCACTCATCTAGTCACTAACAAACAATCAGTGTGTGCCTGCCCACAGTTACTCTGTTGGTCTTTGTGCTCAGAATCAACATCGATCTTTTCTGTCTTTATTTTTGGTACATCTGTCTTCTGTCTGCCAAAGAATAGTTGTGAACCACGTGGGGATGGACCACATCTACCCACGCTGCTGTGCTACCTTTATGCATCCTAGCACATCACATAGCATTAGCTTGAAAGCAAGGGAGATAGATACTAGAATTGGTCCCTAGCTCCCTGAGGTTTGTCTCGGAAGTTTATTGTGACAAGATATGATAAAGGACATGAGCTGCTTGTTAAGGCATGTGCATCTGTGTATAATATATATTACTAGAAACTGAAAATAAAAGGTCTTCAAGTTTCACATTTTCACATGAATCATGTAGCTTTCCTGGGTGAGAGCTGATATGGGCGCCTATAGTCTGAATGACAGGACAGTATTTTGATTGGAAAGACTGATCACTGCACTGTTTGCAAGCACAAAGACATGATTAAGAGTTAAATTACGTTGCAAATTTAGCCCTAATTCCAAAAGATTAAACAACAATAATGCTATTTTCATTCTAGCTTAGTCTAGAAAAAAATTAAGATAGGACTTCAAAAAATTCTTTTTAGTTGGGTAGATACATTTTTTGGAAAGGATTGCTTAAACTATGTAATAGAAAATACAGTGGAAAAACACACCTGATTAAAGTATATTGTTTGGACAAGGCAATTTACACATTCTCACTATAGTCAAAATTAGCTCAGAGATAAGAAAATGTATCCACTTTATCCTGAAAGCAGGAATATGAAGTAGAGACCAGGGATGCATAACGCACACTCTCACCCACCTGGAACCAGACTGTGAATATCCAGTGTGTTGAGACTATCATGGAAGGTTATTGTTTAAAAGTTGATGTCTTTAGAACATAAGGGAAGATTCAATACTAACTTTGAATTTTAACATTTGATGTTTAGCTAAGCATGCATCAATCAACAGCGCTCTTGACTATCTAAAATGAAGCCCAAAGAAGCCATGCTTGCAATGGCACAGTTGCTGCTCACTTCATACTCATTATGTCACTGTGACTATGGCAACATTTGGGCATAATGACCGTGGGTCTTACCTGTCAGCAAGTTTTACATGTGAAGCTCAGTCTGTGTTCTTGGTAGGAGTGTGACCATATTACTTTTCAAAATGACATTTACTCAGTGACAGCAATGTGTCTTACTGCCAGCACAGGGTGGGAAACAACAAGGGCTTTGCTACATGCCCAGTACAAGGCAGCTAATACACACCAGGGCTATTTTGAAAATAATGCATATTTTCATCAGCTGTTTCAAAGGTGCAACCCTTAACAATTAACATCATTCCTTCAAAAAAATCTGAGTGGGAATGTCATTGACAGCCCTAACCAGGGGACCTGAAGAGCAGTCCAAACCCCTCGATAGCCTTGAATCGATTTTTCTGAATGAAGCCTTACATCACATAACCTTAAAGTAGTCACATTTTCATAAAACGGCAAGTCACTCTTGTGCATCTTACTTCCACTGGTCAAAATTGCCTGTCACACCCATCACTTTGGGTGACCTATCAAGCGTTTGTTGAAACGAGTAGTTGTTGAATGATATTTGTGATTGTGTGCTGGTCCATCGTACATCTATTTGGCATTCAAGAAATTCAGTGGAAAAACCACTCCACCCGCAAACTCAGGGATTTGCCAAATTAAAGCTGCTATTGCTTTCGGCTTCTGTCCTGATAAAGACCCACCAAGGCAAGGCAACCTATTAAAATAAATCAACACCCCATAAATCTGGTAAGTAATTCCACAATCTGACGAGAAGAGCAGGGCTCTTGAGGTGACGTTCATCCCCTTGCCTTGTACACATGATTTTTGTTTCTCTGCCCACTGGACTGATTGGTGTGAGCAGGGTGACAGTGACTTGAAGATACTGCCTAAGCTTGTGTGCAAAACTCAAAGCATCGCAGCATGCATCTAGCTCCTAAACTACTTAAATATCAGCACACGTATGGATAGCTACGTAAGATTGCCTTTTTGTATGCTTGTGATATGACTCTATGTGGGTCTCCTGACCTCAGAGGAATCCCTGCAATTCCCTGAACTCTGGGAATAGCGACACGAGGCACGTAGCTCTTTACCCTTCCTTGGTAACTGGTACCCCTGGGTCCCAAGAATCTGCAATGTCTCATCTCTCAAGCAGCTGAGAAGATGAGAAAGGATATACATAGAACCAGGAAAGAGCGGGTGTACCTAAGATCCTAAAATGATGCCTCTCAAGCTAGGAGCCTTGATTCTGTGGTTTTATTTACAAAGCCTTGGAAAACTGGAGGGGAGGCAAAGCCATTCAGAATCTAAAATCCTCTGAGATAATTTCTGTCATCACCCTGGAAGCCACACCGCCCAGTTGCTGTCCAGCGCTGGGTCAAGGAGTCCGGGCAGTGGGCAGCTCTGTGAACACAGAGGCTGCAACTCGCTGACGCCACCCGGACACTTTGCGCTTCGGTGGGCTTTGCGCTCTGAGGACGTGTCTCCGCACCATCTTCCCAGGAGCTGTGCGGGAGGTCTGAAACAGCCCAGCTGGTGCCTCAAAAGGGAGTTTCTAGAAGCCCCATTTCTGCTGCCTCCCCTCCCCTTCGGATTTGGGATTTTTACCCCTGTCAGGGAGCTGCTGCAGCTTCACAGCATCCGACAGCCCTCCGAGGGGACCAGGTGTCACCGACGCCGCTTTTCGCGTGCTGGCCGGAGGGCTTGACCCCGGCGCTGCGGTGTCGCGGATGCTCCCCTCCCGGGGCTGGGGACTCCCCGCCCTTGCGCGCGACCCTGCGCCCGGGCGGGCGGCGCTTGCGGTGGGCAGGGGGCGGGTAGGGCAGCCTGGACTCGTCCAGGGGTAGCCACCTCCCCTGCATCCTGCCCGCGCATCACGGAGCTCAGCCGCATCCTCCGCCTCTGCCTCCGGTGGCTGCCAGCCTCCGCCTCGCGCCACCTCGGCCTCCCGCCGCCCCCGCCCCCGCGCCCCCGGTGGCTGTGCCTTGGCGGAGCCCGGAGGGGGCCTGCGGTGCGTCGGCCGCCGGCTCGGCTCGGCTTGGCCGGGAGGCGTGCATGCCCCTGCTGCCCGTGGCGCTCATCAGCAGCATGCTCTATTTCCAGATGGTGATCATGGCAGGGACGGTGATGCTGGCGTACTACTTCGAATACACGGACACGTTCACTGTGAACGTGCAGGGCTTCTTCTGCCACGACAGCGCCTACCGCAAGCCCTATCCGGGCCCAGAGGACAGCAGCGCAGTGCCCCCTGTGCTCCTCTACTCGCTGGCTGCTGGTGTCCCGGTGCTCGTGGTAAGCCTTGGGCTGCTAGCCCTCTCTTGTTTTTTTGCAGATCTAGGCTCCTCCTGGAGGATCAGGGTACACCAGCCTTTACCATCTAAGTTCCTCCAACTTGGTGGCAGCTCTCTTCCCCCAGAGGACATTCTTCTGGGGAGCACGGGGGTGGGTGATAGGGAAGCACCCCTGCCTCTCTCCAAACCACCCCTGCACCCTCTGTTGAGCCAGCAGGGCTGGGTGGCTCAAAGACAGGGAAGAGACCTGCAGAAGGTGATGGGTGGGTGGAGGGGATTTGAAGTGGGTGAGCCTCTGAAGCGAATAGACTTGATTCATTCTGTGACCCTGCCTCATTGGTTGGCCTCCTGGATTTTACTAGGAAGAGGAGCAATAGCCTGAGGTGGGATAGAGGAGTAAAGGGGCACATGCTCCTGTTTTACCTCCTCCTTTTCCTCCAGATGAAAGAGCCAGGTGCACTGAGCTGGAGATTAGCTCACAAGTACCTAAAATGTCTTTGGGCATCTGTAAATGAAGAGGCTTCAGCAACAGGGCTTTGCTGAGAAGCCAGAGTGGTGGAGCCTGCATCACAAGAGCACTTTAGATTTATATAAAGGCTATCTTTTCCCTGGACGACTCTAGTGCTTGTCTCATCCTGGCTAAATTTATTCTCCCTCCCTCCCTCCCTCCCTCCCTCCCTCCCTCCCTCCCTCCCTCCCTCCCTCCCTCCCTCCCTCCCTCCCTCCCTCTCTCTCTCTCTCTCTCTCTCTCTCTCTCTCTCTCTCTCTCTCTCTCTCTCTCTCTGTCTCTCTCTGTCTCCTCTCTCCTATCCGTCTTTCTGTTGTGTGTGTTAGAGAGAGATGGGGAGTAGACAGAGGACAAGATTATACAGATACGTCCTCTCTCTCTCTCTCTCTCTCTCTCTCTCTCTCTCTCTCTCTCTCTCTCTCTCTCTCTCAGGCCATGTAACTCCTAAGCTAATAAATACAGCACAGTTTGCATATATGAACACAATACAAAGTTTTTTGTAGGAGATGAGTCATATTTCTTTGGAGACCAACTACACTATTTACATTGACAAAATATCCGAGGTTGCCTTCCCATGATGCTCCTCCTCCTTCTTCCCTCCCTCTCTTCCTTTCCCCGCATAATGAATAAGAAGTTAGAGAATAAAAAGGCAAGGGAACTTGAGCTCTTTCTTCCCATAGCTGAGCATATGAATTGCAATTGTAAACATGTATGTCTGCTGCATCCATTTTAAAAAATTGTATCTTTTCTTTGTATTCAGGGATATGACTTAAGAATTTTCAAAATGAAAAGTTCTTATCACAAAACTGGAACAGTACAAACAAACCAAGCAAGTTCTTGATAGCTTCAAAGTAACTCTGTTTATCATACCACTGCACAGATGACTTCAACTTCAATGTTAAGACTTCCTTAGTTTATTTTTGTTTTTGACATTGGGTTTGCTAAAATGTGTCAGAAATCCTCAATCCAGTTTCAAGCTCCAGTTCAGTCTCCCAGTTTGAAAAGTTGCCAGAACAAAGCTGTCCTAGTTTCTGGGGACTTTCTGACTTTGCATATCCTGGGTTTTCAGGCACATGCTTTCTAGGAGACTGAATAGCACAGAGATTTTTCAAGAATTTTTGGGTCATTGATTCATTGGCAACCATAATCAATAATGTCTGTCTCACCATTCAGTGTCTTAAATTCGATGGGCACTTGTCACCCTTGAACCATCCGTCATTGACAGCAAGTACCAATTTCAAGCTGAGAATATTTTGGTCCAAAATTTTGGAGACTCATCACTTAGGGGAGACCTAGGGAGTACCTAAGGGGGATAAAGGGAGTTAAACATCACTGAGTAGAACTGAACTGTTGTAGGCATGTGCATTTACGGAGCAGGCTCCCAAGAGATCTTACCTTTCCTTATATTAGAAGAAACTAGCTTTCAGATACTAGACTGGAAATATCTGAAGAAAAAAACAAAAGGTAGTTTTGGTGTTCATATATCCAGAGGTCTAATGCCAAGTTCCATGCTACTGCTTCCAAAGAACATATCTGAAAGTGGGGAGCTGGAGATAGCATGGAGAGACACATGAACACTAGAGATTTAAAAGGGGGTCTCCAAATTGGCTTTCTTGAGTTGACCTCTAGTTCTTAGATATGAATGTATTTAAGAACCAATGTGAAAAGAAATACTGAGTTTTGGATGGTTGGACTGTTTCACTTTCTTCTATAGGAATAGTACATTCTGTTGCCATGTAGTAAACTAATGCATGGACTTCAGCTCTGCTTCTCCATTCTTCTCAAGAGCATGTCCTTAAACATACTACCTTCTCCTAAGAAAAGCAGCAATGTGAACAATACTCAACCACAGGGGAGTTAGTACTTTATTCTTGGATACTTGAGTATGTTTTTCACATGCTATGTGGGTACCCATTAATGGTTATATCATCTCTGAGATCCCCGTTATTATTTTCATACTAATTTTGTTTTTAATTTAATTTTATTATTTAATGTTTATGGGTGTTTTACCTGAATGTATACCTGAATACCACAAGAATGTGGTATTATATCCCTGGGACTGAAGTAACAGACATTCTTGAGTTGCCATAGAGGTGCTGGGAGTTGAATCCAGGTCTTAGGTCTTCTTGAAGAGCATGCAATACTTTTAACCACAGAGCTATCCTTCTAGCCCTTTCATAAAAAATGTTTTGGGAAGCGGGAGCTGAAGAAGACTATGTGCTCAAGGACCAAAGTTAAAATGTGTTGCCCTAATTCCCTAATGGTTTTAACCCTTGTCTATCAGTCTTCTAAGTTTGTACTTTTTTGTTATAATATATTAATTAAATTTGATCATAAATCAATTTTCTAATTAAGTGCTTCAAACCTTTCCCTTGTGTCATATTTAATATATTTTGACTGTGAAGATTCACATTTGTTTATTTGCCTTCTTAGCTTTTTATATGTGTTCTTAACCTGGAGGATGATTTTGAAAAGTCACTATCCTCAATATTAAACTTGTGAATTATTTTTATTTTTATTCATCTAAAAATTTTAAAAGCCTGTGCCTTTTGGATTCCATTACATTTATTTATTTACTTATTTATTTTTGGGCATCAAACCAAGAAATATCTGTATATAGATTTTGTTATCTTAGCATGTCCAGGACCCTTAGGTCTCCAGCACTGCAGGAAAGAAAACAAATATATATAGACATATGTATTTCAACATATATGTGTGCATAGATCACAAAGACCTATGTTGATACAGGAAAGGATAAGGACACATTTTTTGGGAGGGCTGAAGGAAAACTTCATGAAAATGGTTGCATATGAGACATTCTTTATCTTTAATTAATTAACAGTCAATTAATTGTTGACAGTATCAATAACAAGAGCCTTTGTGTGAGCACTTGCAAAGTGCTGTATTGGTGGTGAGCTGCATTGCCAGCCTTGGGACACGATTTGAGGAAGAGCTGAAAATTAGTAGAGGAGCAGCTTTGTGAACAAAATCACGAAATCAGAAAATGTAAAACATCATTTTTTCCAACAACTTCTGGCCTACCTTATTTCTAAGAGGGACATTTTAGGGGGAATGAGTTGCATGGTTGGAGACAAAGGCTGGAGTCACATTTATGAGTTTCTCCTAATATCTCAGCTGTGGATTATGGACATAGTCTGGTAGGTGGTATTTCAGAACATTTGGGGCAAACAGGAGGAAATTCTGTTAACAAAATAGGTAGGTACCAAAGACCATTTCACACTTCATAGTTAGGGATGTATAATATTATTTCAAGATTGTTTTCAAGGAAAACAAGACAATGTTGGCTTTTTCACAAAGTTAACATGGTTTGTCATCTCTTTGAAAATGGTTCTGTGTAGACTGAGCTGTAAAGTATCTGTCAAGGCCGGTTATAAACTACATATGTGTAAAGGGAAACCTTTTCCTTGAGAGAAGCCTTCCTGCCAGCCTGATTCCAGAGCCGCATGAGTCCCAAATAAACACACAGGAGGCTATATTAATTATGAAGCTGTTGGACTTGCTTATTTCTTACTGGCTAGCTCTGACTTAAGTATTTATCCCATAATTGCTAATCTAAGTATTTCTCTTACCGGAGAGGTTTCCGGGCTTTCTACCCCATGGCAGTTACATCTCGACTTCCTGTGTTTCTCCTACCCAGAGTCCTCCTGGATTCCTAGTCCCACCTATCTTGGTTCCCTATTGGCCAACAGTGCTTTATTGACATATACACAGGACTTCCCCCATCACATATGGATATAAACTTAATTGGTAACATTGATTTTTACTAAAGTAATTGGCAGCAGGAATGGCTTTTAATCTCTCCTCCAGATTTGGATTTGGTGCCCACCAAGACCTATTCTTCTTTAGACTTCTCAGCAACATGGATGATGTGACAGAGATGATTGTAGACTATCTATCTTCGTGGAGTCAGAATCAAGAGTTAAACAACAAACAACAAAACCAGACCTTAACCATTGTGGTTCACCACACCATACAGAGTTATTTGAAGGTTGGGATACGCATTGTTGATGTTGGAGGTCTATATTCTAGGCCCTGAGACTTGAATGTGAGCAATGTGTCCACAGCTTCATTTAATGGTGATAGAAGCATATGGTGGCATGCAATCATTTCCCAACCAGGGCTCCTTCTTTCAGAAACCCTTACCTTGGAAAACCACGTCTGAGTTATACTGCAGCACACAGCATAGATACAGGCATTAGATAAGTCTGGACTCTTACTCTGGCTTCTCTTGTTAATTAGCCAGCTACTTTGATCAAAATTTCTTATCTCATAAACTGGAGATATAAAAAACATAATTTCCGGCTAAGCATGATAGCTTATGTCTTCAATACCCCCCAAAGCAGACAGATCTCTGTGAGCTGTGAATAGCAGGTCATCACAGGATACCTAGCAAGACCCTATCTAAACTAAAATGAAAATGAAGAAGCAAACAAACAATCTTCCCATGAAACCAAAATAACACAAAACTGTGT